TCTGGAAATGCAAAAAAAAAACTGAAGCTCCGATTTTAATAAAAAAAAAATTAGTGTCTACCATACAGATGTAGGTATGTATATACACATGTATAGTAGATATAAAAAACATGGAAAATAATGTGCATATGTCTGTAAAAAAAAATGGACATGTAATTCCGCCAGTATCCAATTTTAATAGAACCCTTTGGATTTTGTACACAATTAATATTTGAGTGCCAGCTTCATTTTATTCATATCTGCTGTACATTTTCGGTAAACAAAGCTGTGGTTTAATACTTCCTATTGTAAAAACTAGTGTTGGGCAATACTATCGATACCAAAAGTACTCAGAACTCGATTCTCAAGAGGATCGACAGCAACCGATTTTTAAAAGTATCCATACTGAGTACTCGCAAAAGAACTTGAAAGTACTCATTACTCATAAAAGGAACTGGAAAGTACTGAGAACTTAAAAGAACTCGAAAGTACTCAGTACCTACTCAAAAATACTCTGTTCCAATAATCGCTTTGATATATGTACTCATGATCGATTCAAAGTATTCAGTATTAAGTGTCGAATAGACTTAAAAAGAACTGAGTTTTATTTACATTTAACGGTATTCAGAAATGATTGTACTCAATTTGCAGTTTCAATAATTTCCTTTGACGCAATTTGGGATTCATACATTAATTTGAATAAAGTACTGGCAGCTTGTGAGATTTCTACACTAAGTATTGGAATATTACCAACATGTATATATGTAAAGAAAGTACTCAGTACTCTGAAAAATACCCGATACTTAAAAGTATCGATACCTAAAAACCTTGATCCTCAAAAGCACTCGATACTTCCCAACACTAGTAAAAACATACATACGTATATACACACAAACATAAATATGTACAAACAAACATATGTATAATATTTACACACAATCCATTCCATGCTTATGCCTAAAAGTATGCACACTTTAGTGAAACGACCAACTGATAAGTTAACCCAGCAAAGAAATGCGATCGCGAAGATCGAATTGATTATTCAGCAAAGTCATAGTTGAAAAGCGCTTTTGAAGCAACGTTGCAGTTAGAGTAGGTAGTTTTTTTTTATCAAATTCGGTACTTGTTACTTTCTTTGTCAAATGTGGTAATTTATTGTAACATTTTTGCTAAGTATGGAAGATACTCCGTCACCCGTTCTGATACCATATTCAAAGGAAAATTCTGCATGGGAAAGAACATTTCCCTTCTGTTTAAAATTTAAAGCAACGATGTGCGTTTCCTGTTATAGAAATACCACATTATCTAATTACCTATAATTTCAGTTTTTAAATATTGTTTTTTTTTTTTTATATTTAGAACAATTTCATTTTTACTCCAAACCTACATATCCCCTAGCCTAGAATGAAAAGTTGCTAAGTAAACTTTTTGTGAAAACCCATATCTTGTTATAGGAGACAAAGGAAATTAAAAATGCGCCCGGGCCAAATATTTATTTACAGAAAAAGCACAGCATGCGCGCAAGAAATTCTGAAGATTTGTGTCAAATACAAGTGAAGAAATGCGACGTTCTATAACCGAAATTTTAGACAAATTTGCGGTGGAGATATCTTTCAGGAATTTATAGAAGCTTGATGAAGGCTTTGGTTTGCTTCGCAACTTCGAAATAACAGAACAAGTACCTTGAGCGAATCAAACAAATATAAGGATCACGAAAAAGAAAATAAGTTACCCCAAACTTTTTTCCAGGTCGACTGCTTCCTTGAGAAACCTGATCCACTGGCCTAAATTAGAGATTAAAGGCAGGTTTCTCACAGATGATACCTTATCACAGTTTCCCACCCACCTTCGATGAAATAACAGGGCCCACCCAGTTTTCTCTGCTTATCATATGGATGGTGTGGTGCTGTCGTCTGGGCAGAAATGTACCTCTTAGATTTCGTGTGCCTAGAGTGGCATGTAAATTTATATATAGTCCATACTCCTCAACCCAGCGAGGCAACCACTTTGCCTTGCACACTTTGCAGTTTCTCACCGCTTTCCTCCAAAGGCTTAAGCCCAGTTAAGTCACAAGAATTTCGAGATACGTTGACAGCTTGTTTATATCCTACTTTTTGCTTTTACACCTTCGTTTACTTGTACTTAATATGTGCAATTACCCTCCTCGAGTTGTCATCTGCTTTTTTAAAGCTCGGCAAAAATGAACTATAAGGAACCCGATCCTTATGTACAGATCAATCTGTCCCTCACTTGTGCTTGAGAGAAGCGAATTCATCGGAAATCTCCGGGGAACACGTGCAAGACCTTATCGGCCTTGTACAAAAAGGTAACTCTGACTTTGAGGGTTTCAAAATATATCCCCTTCCGAAGCAGCTCACTTGGATAGAAGTCAAACATCGATACGATACTTACACAGACTTCTGCAATTGGGCTAGTAAGATCCTATCGGGATCTTGGGGCCTTGCTTCTAAGCGGATCCTGCCCGGTTTCAAATTACACAGAAACCGAGCAACCAGAAGTATTTTAAGGGGCTATTCGCTTCCCATGGTCCAGTTACATTACTGATTTTTCGGGTACCCATTTGGACTGGAATTCAGGCCTTACGGTCACTGAAATAAAGCTTGAACAAGTTCTGAAGGAAAGAAAGGTGTGGACACAGTTTCAAGATGTATGTGGGGAGCTTACGACAGCAAAGTCAATAAGCTTATTGTATCCTTTCAGGGCGAAGGTGATAGGCTTCTAGTTGGTATACTAATAGAACACTGTTTGTTGGCATTACATACCTTTAAGCTAAAGGGTGAACACACCAAAACTGCGACACTTTGGGAAGCTTATAACTTACCCAAAACGAATTCAATATTTTGAAATTCAAATACCATAAGTTGACCATGACCTTAGTTGAAGTAGAAGAAATTTCATTTGAATTTGATTCCTAGTTGAGTTAGAAATGGCAACCGAGCTAGAAACGAGACAAACCATTTTGCACGAGTTTATAAATGATTCGGCCTTAAGTACACGTAAAATTGCTAAAAAATTAAAGAGTGCACTATTCGACAGTTTGCAGGGTTTTAATCGGTACAAATAAGGCCTGACAGTTACGAGAAAACCAGGGAGCGGGGGTTAGCATGGTCAATGTGATAAAAACAGTGCTCGGAAGGTCCTCAGTGCGTTTTCGCGAGATCCGAAGACTTTGTCGCGTTATGTTGCAAAACCCGTACGGAGATCGCAGTTTTTCGTACAAAAGGTAAAGCGGAAAGCTTGATTGAGATGTTCTACAGCTCAAACAGCGCCAGACCGAGGCGCAAAGTATAATGTTACAGCGAAATCCCGCATTCGGAAGTTGTATGAATTCTAAATTAAAAAATACAACTGCATTGTTATGGACTGCGAAACCTACTGCTATAAGAATTCAAAATATATTACAGGTCAAGATTTTTATACTGCTGCAAGTCGTCAAGATGCCCCTGAAAGTTGTAAGCTGAAAATGAACTCCAAATTTCCAAAAACCACATGGTTTGGCAAGCTATTTGTTCCTGCGGCCGTAAGAGCAGCCCTTTTTTCCCATCCGGGACAATGAATGATCAAGTTTATCGGGATGAGTGCCTTGAAAGGCGTCTTCTGTCATTTATCAACAGATAAGGAGTAGGCCATCGTTCTAGGCGGACATGGCAACCTGCCACTATGCCAAGGACACATTGCCGTGGTATAATGCAAATAACATCAATTTTGTAACTCACGACTGCAATCCACCCAATAGCCCAGAGCCACGTCCTATTGGGGAATATTGGTCAATTGTCAAAGGAATCTTGAAGAAAACAGGTGAAAGAGTGAAAATTATTGAAGAGTGCAAAACAAAGTAGTTGTGCGCATCGCGTAAAGTCGATGATGCAGTCGTGTAGAACATGATGGCGCGTGTGCGATGAAAATACCGATCACTTGCATATGGAGCAAATAATAACTAATATTTTAACATTTTAATATCATCTAAACTTCCAAGTTATATAATACAAAAAATAATAATTTCAAAGCCTTCTAGTTTGTTTCTGGTAGTAATTTCTAAATGTCGCAGTTTTGGTGTGTTCACCCTTTATATAATATGTTAATACGAAAGACCATTGAATCCTCATATTATGGCCGGAACCAGTGTTGAAGACTCGATATAAAATTGCTTGACCATTTACGTATGGACGCAATGCTACTACAAAATTCATCACTGTTAACTTTAAGCTTCGATATAAACACATATGTAGATCATAATTTCACGGTTCACCGATTACGACAAAATAAATATAAAACAAAACATTGATTAACTACGCTGACAAACACTGTCGTACACAGCCACACATAGAATTAAATAGTTAGTACAGCTACAAAACTCCTCCATAAGAGAATTAAGATACTGAAATTCGTTACATCATTTTTGGAGCCACCACAAGCAACAGCGTTCAATGCGATATCATAATTTTTCCAAAGCAATAATCCAACTAGTAATACTAACACTAACGGTACACCTGAGATATCCGTGGGATTGTATGCCCCCAATTAAAACACCAAGCAGCCTTACATCAGCCTCTGCAACGCACCTGCCTATGGAAGTGGGCAAACCATTGTTGTGGCCACCAATTTTCGGCAAAAGTGATAGTAAAGCAGCGGACAAGTACGACAAGGAAATCGAGCGGCGTTCACACTGGACAACGGTAAGTAGACAGTAACAATTCGATTAGATGCATACAATTGATGACATTCGCTAAAACACTCTGCATATGTACTCGTACATACATAGACTGATTGGCTGGAGAAGCACAAGTACGCCGTGGAAGTGCACAATGTCACCACAACCGACGGTTATCAGCTGCTTTTGCATCGCATACCCAAATTAGGCAAACAGCCCGTCTTGCTGGTACACGGACTTCTAACTTCATCACTCGCCTGGTTGCTGCTCGGACCGGGCAAGAGCTTAGGTATGAACGGAGTGTAGTTTCTATTCAACTAAGCTTTTGCTTTTGTCACCTACACTGACCCATTTGTGTGCACCACACACACACCAATGTACTCACATGCCGGAGCTCTAATATTTTGTTTCTTCTCCTGCCTTACCCCGCCTAACTGGGTGCTGCTTTCAGCTTTTCTGCTCGCCGACCGCAACTACGATGTTTGGCTGGCGAATTTACGCGGCTCAGCATATGCGCGCAGTCACACGCAATTCAGCGCCGACAGCTCGGACTATTGGAGCTTCAGCTTCCATGAAATGGGCGCCTACGATCTGCCGGCCATAATGGACCACATTGGGAATGAGAGTTCGTTCCAGCAGTTGCTGCTAATTGGGCACTCCCAGGTGTAGTACCGTCCGTATGCTTAGTTACCGTTGTCAATGGTGTTGGACGGACAGACGGACGAACAGGGAAACCGGTCGATGTGTGCTAAAGTGCTGTTGTTTTTGTCACGCTTAGGCGCTGTTGTTATCTACATTGTAATTGTTTTTGTTCTCGGATTTATCTTTTGTTTTTGCACTTGCTTTTGTTATGCTTTTGCTGTGCTTTCGTTGCTGTACACGTGTGTTGTTGTGGTCGGTGGTGGGAGAAAATGTAAATATTGTGTCGTTAATGCTTCTTACGCCATTGTCTGTATTGTGTTTTCCTTGTTTTGTGCCTTCATTGGGCTGCTTTTAGGCGCTAAACGCATTCCTAGTTTTGTGTTCCATTCATCCCGAGTACAATGAACGCATTCTGTTAATGCAAGCGTTGGCCCCAATTGTGCAATTGCACGATTTTGTGCGTTTCAAACCGGATGATGTGCGGCGGGTAATGCGCTTTGTGAAGGTGAGTCGAGGAGGATCTTGGGTTTAAGATACTACAAAGATTTTAAAGGTAGGAGTTGGTAACATGTTGAAATTTTGGTTGAAATATTGAAAAAAAACAAATTTCAGTTATTGAAGTGTAGCTATTTAGTAGCTTCCTAAGAGGGTAGAGCTTGGGAGCCTAGGCGGAGCTAGGTAAATTGGGTTCGTTCACTGCTACCGCAAAGGGTTATTAGGATTAATCAGAAGAAAGTGTGGAGTGCATGATAGAAATCCTCAGAGCAGTATACTTCCTCCTTTGCTCGAGTGCTTGATACTTTATTCCCTACTTGACAATTATAATGGTAGTTCCCAGAAAAGCACAGAGAACACTGCCTTTTTGACGACTGAGTGGAAGATCGACCTATCTCAGCAGCCAGTTCGAAACCGCCCTATATCATAGAACTAAGAACGCCCTATTTCAGAATTCGCTTCAAAAACGCCCCATCTCAGCTCCGATTCAAAAACTCCCTATCTCAACATATTTGCTAGATATTTTGACTTGAGGTAGGGCGTTTTGGACCAAATTCAGAGAAAGGGTATTGCTGAAAAGTTTTCTTAGATAAGGCGTTTTCGAACTGGCTGCCAAGATAGGTCGATCTTCTACTCAGCCGCGATATGATTGACATTTGGTGTCATGAAAATGGGCTATGCGCTAACCTAATCAGAAGATGTGCGGTGTACAGCTAGTTATCTGCTTTCATTGAGAACACAGCTTGTATGATTGCTGACTGGACAATTCTCAGAGTACAAGTACCTGGCTGTGACCAACAAAAAAAAAAAACATTTACATCCCCAGTCAAGCTGCTCGTTCACGAACTCTCAATATACAACACGCTCTTCTCCGCAGGGTTGGAACAATGATACAGCAACAGAATCAACGACCGAGAGTTTGCAAAAATATCAAACAACATTAGGACCGGCTCTTTATGCTTTGTTGAATTTGCCGCCTCTGGATTTAGCGAACCAAGAGTGTTGACTGCGCTCTTTTGATCTGTGGCACGAAGATTAGAGTTTTGTACACAGAGAGTTATTGAGAAGGTTGTCAGATCAGTATCCTTCGTTTTTGGCACCTGATAACAAACTGATACCTGGAGTCTCCTTTGGAAGACAGAACTTCATTAGATTTCCTACAAGTGAATAATGGAGAGACTCAGACACTCTCTTGGGAAGCTTCGAGAAAACTTTCTATACCGACAGCTCAGAGAGTGAAAACGGTATTGGAGTTGGATGGCATCTGGACGGTAACTTCAGATACTTCACCACTTTGGGTGCAATGGCGACGGTCTTTCAATCGGAAGTCTTTGTAATGCTAAAAGTGGCAGATTGGATAATTGGCGAAAGGTGGCGCGGAAATAAAATCAGGATCTACAGTGACAGCCAAGCTGCTCTGAAAGTCCTGGAAACCGCTCGAACCTCAAAGCCCATCCCCACCTATATATTCCCTTCCTCTAAATCCTGTCCCTTTGTCATAAGTACAATGGGCAATACGGCCTGAGTGCATGGAAAAATTTGTGTTTGGTTTTCCGGCCAGCCACAATTCCATTCCATTCCATTGGAAATATGAGAACTGTTCACAAAGGGTGAGCCAAAAAATTTAAGACTTAATTATTTCCCTGAAGTCTTGTATAGTGTCCGGTGCCCACATTCAGGTTGAAATGCGCTGGTCAACCTACGGAAAGAAAAACTTTTCAAAGCGATTTATTCAAAGTATCAAACAGTGTCAAATATCTCTCGAAATATTGTCCTACATAAATATTTAAATGATACTTAATACGTCTGCCAATCTCTCCGACCACTTTCAACCCGTCCGTGGGGTTCCACTGACCTTTGCTTCTCCTTCTAGGGAGCAAAAGTACCAACTCAAGAATACACGCGGGCTGTAGTTAGTTAAAACTGAGAACACAGATAAATTAAAAAAACCAAAGCGAGTTGGTTGTGTGCTCCGATGAGGCAATCTCACGAGCTAAGATATCATAAACTATTTGCGCTCGTACAGCCAAAAAGCTGCAATTTCATGTCGAACTATACCGACAGGGATGCCGTTGAACGAAGTATAGTGGATGAGCTGGCGTTCTCTAAAAGCTGTGTACTGGGCATCCCTTTCTTAGGGAGAAGTAAGGGGAAAAAATGTTGTGTGAGCGAAATTATTTTATTTGTGGCTTATTTTATTTAAGCAAGAACCAATGCCACCCAGTAGTGAAATCCTTAAATTTTATAAGTAAAATAGTTATGTATGTTTTCGAAAATGATGTAACTCTATATTTGTATGATTTAAATTTTTTCCGATATATTTTTTTACTTCCTAACATTTCCAAACATATCTGCCTACATGTGATAAGTCCAAAGTAAAATCCGAGTCATATGAACTCTTTCCCGCCGGCTATCTACGTAAAAAATGTTTCCAACGCAATACCGACAATCGCCAGACTTGTCTGCAACTAATGAGCACCTTTGCGGGTAATGGCCGCTATTCGAAGGTAAGCCAAAATATATCATGTCAAAAGATGCCATCCGACACATACTTAAAAACTCGCTCTCTCTCCCTCAACTATTCACAGTCCATTGAGCCGCTCCTTTATGGCCAACTGTTGCAGGGTGGTTCACTCAAGGAAATCAAACATTTGCAACAAATCTGGTATTCGGGTGATTTTGTCGCCTTCGATTATGGCGTCGAAGGCAATCGTAAGTACTACAACAACTCCGTTGAACCGTACAATTACGACCTTAAGCTGGTTACTGCACCGCTGCTGCTCTACTTCGGCGAAAGTGACGCCATTGCAACGCCCGGTGGCGTTCACAACATCTACTCACGTCTGCTGGGCACAGTGGTCGGTGTTTATCGCATAGCCGCCGCCAAGTTTAATCACTTTGATTTTCTATGTGCGAACGATGTGAAAACGCTGGTCAACGATAGAGTAATCGGCATGATGGAACAACACTTGGCCGGCAAATTGCCCTACGTAATTGAATAAATTTATAAATTTACAACAATACAAAATAGACAAATTCGAATGCATGAATGGTGTGTAAAATACTTGGCTGTTGTCGATAGTTAACTAATTTTATTATGGCAATAAAATTGTTTTTAGTGGTTGCGACGCGCGACAAAAGCTAACTGAATGACAATTTTTTTCTTTTATTTTTCTTGTTTTTTTTTTTTGTTTAAATGCTCTTGCTCCAAATTTCGTTCGAGACGAAACCGCTGATTTGCTCATGTTACATAATTATGTATGCCAACCAACCACAACAAGCGTGGGCATTGATATTTGCACCGAGCTACAACAACAGCAATAACAATTAACATTCACTTTCTTTCCTTTCCGCTTCTTCATCGGCCTT